CTGTATCGTCATAATTGTTGATTTGTGAAATTTTTTCTTTTGCTGTAATTGAAGAATTGTTGATTTTTGAATCAATGAGGCTTCTCGAATCCTGGCATATTATTCCGAAATTATACGGTGATTAATTTTTATAAGGTGTTGGAGAAATTAAATATTCAACAATACAATCAAGATTTCTTTGATCTTCAATGTTACAGCTATATGTAGAACAATGTTCTATATATAGCTGTAACATTTAAATATACATAAGGACATATTGTAAAATAATAGAATGGCCAATTGTAAAATGAATTTAGGGTGGTACACTTGTATGGGTGGTATTAATGATTACCTACCTGTATGATGTACCTGAATAGCATAAATAGCTTCAGTTTTGAGAAGTTTCTAGTTTTATCTTCCTCTTGAAGATGATCACTTGGTGATCGAAACACGTGTCGAGGTGTAAAAATAACGATTTGGTGTTGGGAAAAAACTCCAGTAATATTCAATATTAGTCCAAATTTTTAATTCGATGCGAGAACTGATGAGTGTTAAAGCTCTTTCAGTTGATTCACCTATTAGAGCTCGTAATACAAAATTTGTTTAATGTTTGATCAGTTTAACTTTGAAAAGTTGCAATTGAATTTTCGCAATAATCGAAAAATAACCCCAATGACGGTTTCCTTCGTATTGAAGTATTGTATCTATATGTATATTTTTTTCAGGAATTTTTATTTCTTCTTTAAATGAATTTTCTGATAGGTTACTTAGATTATCTAAATCGTTCTCAATATTCATAAAATGTGTTCGCGCAAATTAAATGGAAATCGAAAAATAAGAATATAATATTATCACTTATTGGTTGAGATAATTTAGGAATTGGATAAGTTGGGATGTACTTAAATTGACTTACAGTATTATTGTTTCGTTCATTTCTTTTGGTTTCTTGCTTTTTGGTTTTCTTACTTATTGGTTGCCAATAGAAGTTCCAGCGATGCTTGTCTGCTGTTCCTGGTCTTTGAAAGCGGAGTTGGCGATTTTTGTCCTCTTGCCAATAAATTGACAAATTAATTTATTCGATATAACACAAAAAACAAGTAAAGAGTGACGAGATGCATCATTACAATTAGTTTTATATAAACGTTGATCAATTATCCGGCTGATATAGCTTCCGTCCACGGAGGCATGTGGTGGGCGTATCGGAGGGCATTCAGTTCACACGAGTTTCATAACTGATAGATGAGACATGTCATCTCCAGAACACATAGCAGATTATGTATCCCAAACAATCAGAGTAGATATATCGAATCATGAATTCAAAAATCATTACAAAATGACGAAAAATTGAGGACTATTCTCAAATTTACATTTTTTATTTATCGCCATTTCTGTCATTTCGGATTTTTCATTGCTTCTTGATAAATTTATAGCTGTAGAATTCATTCAATAAAATGAAGGAAATCATGGAGAGCATCACGGAGAGCATCATGGAGGACAACATGAATACCACGAGGAACATTACCATGGCGGAGGCTGATTCATCAGCACATACATCATCCGTCTCAGTGAGTGATTTTTTCATAGTTCTAATTATCTACAGTTTCTTCAAGAAATAAAGATATTTTTCCATAAAAATATGGGAAAAAAATGAATGAAGAAGAAATCACAAAATCATTTGGGATGTTCTTCATCGAGATCTCTCTCATATCAATAATAAAGACCTATTGCTAATGATAACAATTATTATAATGATGATGATATATTATTGATTTCAGTGGAAAGTAACCCATCAGAAAAAGAAATACCACCTTCCATGAAAAATTATATGTTCTCATTACATCGTAATGAATGTGTCAAATTTTGTAATAAAATCTGCATCTATAATCAGTTTCATCTTTTCTGTACTCTTCTACATGATTATAGTGCCATAATATGAATTAAATTCGAATTTAGCATGGTTTCCAATGCAATTATGAATATCTTACCTTCAGATAAAAACGCAAAAATTAATAAATGGTAGATAGGTGAACCTTTACCTAATTATACAATACCTGAGAATCAGCATCTCCATCGATAGGTAATTGTGTAGGACCACAATCATTCCACCCGGGTTGTACGTTGAACCTCAGTGATAATGTGAGATACTCATTTTGTTTTAATGTTTCAATCTGTTGAAACCATCAGTACAAGCGTTAAAAAAGTGGTTGTCTTGTTGAACAAAAATCTTTATGACTTTTGATTTTGATTCTAAAATAATTGATTTCCCATCTACTTGAAGACAACACAAAATATAAAGGCGACCCAACCTTCAAAGTGAGTTACTAAGTAAAACAAAACCAACGATTTGCAATCTTTCATGCTCTAGTGCTTGACGTAACAAATGTATATACAGGGTGTTTCTTAAACACATGCTAATATTTAAGGAGGTAAATCTTAGACCCATTTCAAGAAAAAAATTTCCCATGGACGGATGTCCTAAACGCCTTAACTTTTGAGATACAGGGTGGCAGAAAATGCGCCTTGNGGCATAATCTAATAATGTAAAAGTATACCTTTTTTGATAAATATTCGTCATCAGGAGCTTCAACTATAAATTTGTCAATTTCTTCCTTTGTAAATACTTTTGATTTCTTAGGTTTATAATTACTGTTTTTTCGTTTTAAAAATGCTACAAGCTTTAAAAACTTTGAAATGTCAATATTTTCTTTTATTGTAAGGGTCGATTTTAGCATGGAATAATTTGCCCACAATGTCGATACTTTTTTCCTTCAGATTTCTCTTTTAAATACGCTTATAAAACATTTTCTGTTACTTTAGCAACTTTCCTTTCTTCACACCATGTTTTCAGTTGGTTATATGCATTCATGTACAGTCTCTTTGATTTTTATGGCAATAAATCACTACTTGTACTAGCTGCCACCACTCTAACTTCAGGCGGGGTACATATCATCTCTAAATCATCGTCACTTGAACTTTCACTAATTTCACTTCTTCAAAATGACATCTAAATTTGAATTAAAACCGCATTTGGCAAACTGACAGCAATAATAATCTTTGTATAGTGTTTGATGGTCATGGAAACGCCGGCAAACGTTTTCATGGCCTAAGTAGAGGTTGCGCGCTTATCATCGACATCGCGTATTCAACATGGAAACTGTACCGTTTCAATTTGACATGCAACAATTCATAGCTGCCTTGGGTTATCATATAACCAAGGAAATTTTTTTTTCGCCATAATGCAGAGTTGAGAAATTCTAAGTTCTGGTTTCTAGGGTTTAGGTAACGTTTTTCAATGAAAGCTTTATGGCTTCTTACAGATAACACCGTCATTTCCCAACTGATTCGTAATTATACAAATAAAACTACTGAACCTCTTATTCAAAAGGAGTCTTCATGCCTGGTATTATAATTGTCATTTTAGTATATATTATTTATTCAAATACATATTTTGTGAATTTCTAAGAGACACTGACGAATAAACATTGAAGGAACTGTCATGATTCTGAATCTTGTAAATGGAGATTAGCGTGAATCTTTCGGATATGATCTGAATTGAAATATTTATAAAGAATATCATTTATATCGGTGATTTATAGTTTAAAGTTAGGAATCAATAATTTTAAAGGATGAGTAACGACCATTGTCTGATGTGCAATTCATGATATTTTTCCTGAAAATGATTTTTTCGGATATTGACTAGACAGATAGAGGCTACCGGTTGTACAGTTTTGGTGCGATCCAGTTTTGGTGTCCGATCGATTTATTCACTTAAGATTATATCATCATTTCTGCACTGATATATCTGATTTCGTGAATTTGATATTTTTAAGTGTTTTCTTTCGAGAGTGGAGATGATAATTGTCTTAGCATACATTAATCTGATAACGAATATCTTCAGTTTGGTAAACACTACATTTGTTTTTGAACTATATTCTTGTATTTCTAAAAATTTCAGCAATACTAAAATGTTTGTGAGCCTATGTTTTCAGCTCTCGGGGATTTTGAAAGCAATAGCTGAAATATATTCTAACTAGAATTTCCCAAAATCAACGTCTCAGGAAATATCTCTGGATTAAAACCAGAAACGGTGTGTGTCACGTCAACGTAACATAAAACAGGTGTCCCTCGAGGCAGCGTGAATGGTCTTATTTTCTGCTTTTCATAAATGATTCAAGTAAAACCCATAGCAGGATTTATGGTACACAATTTGTTGTTAATATATCTTTCAATGTAGATGAAAATTGTATTAACTGTTTTTGCTACACAACTGGATGTATTTACCGAATGAATTCATACTGTCTGTATAAAATATAAGTTGAACAAATATGTTTCTTTTTTCTAGAAAAAAAGCTTACCCTGTCCCAGTTCGACTGTAAATCAATAGTTCGAAGTGAAAGTGTCATTATTAACTTAAGACATCTCAGTTATTATTTTGTGCTGTGAAAGCATGTCATTTGTATCATCTCATATATAGTAGACACATCACCTTGGCCAGATGCATTGAATTATATTATTTACTGTACATAATGTTAGAAAAATATGTCCAAGACAAAATGAAGTACTCATTCAACAGAAGAGAGTAATCAGAACAATGAATTCGAAGAAGATCATTAAGCCAGAAATTATTTAGAAACCTAAATATGTTAACGGTTCTCCTCTTGAACAACTCCAAATTTGAATAAGATAAAGCCAGAATATTCTTTCAGGAACATTTTTTGAAACGGAGTTTTGCGGGTAGTGCTGTTTTCTGTTTCTAATTAAAAATCTAGTCAGTATTTCAAAATGCTTTATTACTTATACGTTGTTTATAGTTGATCATCATTCAGACTACTGAAGGAAGATTCATTTTCGGCCATGGTATTTTCCGCCGCCTCTGAAAATTGATAAAAAAACAGATTAAAATGAAAACGTCAGAAAAATGAAATGAAAATAGAGTTAGACAGAAAAAAAGGATATCAATTATTATAGGGATTGATACTTTCCGCATCTATTACATCCACCACCACCAGGAGATCTTTTTGGGCGTGATTCACCACTGGTTTCAATGACTTTCTCTATTCCATCATTCTCAGCAGGTATTTTTGAAACTGAACTCTGAAAAATAATATTATATTCCATTGTTCTGATTGACCGACTCTTTCTACAAGGTAGGCAATTTTTTGACTAACCATAGATTTCATTCATATCCCCAAATTGTTATTATTTTTTTTATATGAACTAAATGACACGCACTCTAAACATTGGTTGAAAAAATACCGATATTGTACTCATATCAGGTAAATATATTGGGATAAACTAAGTAATTGAAATATTTTCATTACCTCCATGTCAGTTGAAGAAAGTTTCAATATTGAAATATGAATGTAAATATCAAACGGATAAATTTCGACATTGATTTCAAATTTACAACCTCACAACCCTACAACAAAGTTATATCCTCAATCACACATATCATGTGGAAGAAAATTAGAAAGCATTTATCATATAGCCCCAATATGAGTATTCCGTTGAAGAAACGAAGATATTGATGTTCAAGACTGAACTGATTTGACCTGTTATCTAAGTACAAAACTCGAAACATTCTATAAGGGAACCGAATTGAATGGAAGAATGTCTCGAGGGTACTTTTCAACCGAAATCCAGAAACCTATTCTCTCACGACTGCTTCAGTACAGAGACACGCTTCAGATATAGATAACCTCAATGAAAGTCCTCTTAGAATTTATCGCAGAATTCAAAAACGAAATGGACGAGATCCAGTTGATAAAACGTGGTTTTGATATGCTACATTTGACACTTTGTATATTTGAAAATCAATTCCAAACATGGCAACAAGTTGCACTGCATATTAGTGTCATAAAAGTTATTGAAAATATGTTAAAGCTTCCAGGGACCATCTCCTTACTCGTTATCTTTGATATTCGTGATTTAATTCTTCTGTGGTGGCTGTGGATGACGTTTTCGTGAGGGCAACACTGATAAGATCTACTGAGGGTCGAAACAACTATGTCTGCCTTTGGATCACGGGTGATTTATTTTTGGGCTCTAGTTTCAAAACAATTTATGTCAAAACGAATGTAAAAGACATCAAACATAAAAGCTGTACCCGCAAGCATACAAAACAAATTTGTTGAAGTTGGTGTCATGAAAGACTGGAAGGAAAAATGCCATAAGCCCTCGACTGCATTAGTATTTTCCGAAGGATCAAAGGAATGGAGGAGTCAAATGGCTCACAAGAAGCAAGAAGAACTCCTAACTTTGATGCCATATTCAAAATACCATTATGAGTTGCATCTATCAACCTTTGAATAATATGAAATATTGAGCACCCTGTTTGTTCCTCTTATAAATATAATCGACTTTTTACGAATCAATCCAGTGAAAAAAGTAATTGGAAGCTCTGGCATAAAATAAACTCATAACAATCACCACTCCCAAATTCCAGAACTGCAACACCTTACTCAGCGCGCGTTTCACCATGCAAGTTGACGTTTTCAAGAGATGAAGTAGACTTCAGCAGTGCTCATTTGGATTCATCTCCATAATTCCATTATCCGTAGTATCAAGTTGGTGAACGCATTTTCATTAAATGAAGAGTTAGATATGAATACTGTTGAAGACCTGTGAATCGAATTTTTTTTTGTCGAAAATCAATTTCTAGCTGATAATTGACAACAAATACTTGGAATAAAACGTTGAATTGGCAAACTATCAAATTTTTCTGGAGTTGGAAAAATAGGAGAGTGCAGTCAATACTTTTACTCAATTTCAAAGAAACCTTCAGAAGGGTCAATTTGGAAATAATTCAAATTTTTCAGGTTAGTTATATTGAACATCCAACCGCGTGGATAATTCTAAACTTTTAATCATATCTTAGTAATTTTTGGTTTATTTTCAATGTTACAAATTCAAATTTTGAGACATTTCGGGTTTTTGAAATATTCAAAATAATTTTGAAGAAGATTCTCAATATGAATATTCAGGTAGTTTTCTTTCATATACACATTTGTTCATGTTTTCTGATATGCAGTCAGTTGGGTCATTGAACATGTCAAAATTATAACAAATTCATTTTCATTTGATGGAGTATTGATTGACATATGATATTCATCATGATGATCAAATAGGTACAATTTTTCAAATCATATATCGTCAACACTATATCAGTGATTTCACCAGTAATTTCCCCAACCAGCTGACTATCATCGTACCAATAGAAAAATAGTGTTCTAAAATTTATTATTTCTGAGTTCCGTATCCTCTGATGAACAAATGAAGAACTTGTGTTTAATATCACAGCAATTTTGTTACATAATTTTTATAATTGAAAATGATATTGGAAAGGATCTTATTTATTAAATAATAATTACAAAACGGATTGAAAAATATCTTTCTATTTTTTAATCAAGACTCACACCTATAGTTTCAAATTTCAAAATTTGTTTCTTTCATTCAGCTGAATAATGCAGTTGTTCTATCTTCACGTACCTTGTCGTTTCCAGTTGAAGCATCAAGCGCCGAAATCAGTCTCGGCAATTGCTTTTGTGAATCAACATCATTATTTTGGCACTGTACATCAAAAATAGAACTTGCAAGTAAGAAAAGTATCACTGGGACCAACATCTTGCCCACTGACTGCAATCGTTAAGTAACTTCGGAATTATATACTGATCTGAGAATGCAAAAATGAATAAACTGGTTTAAAAAAATTGATGACGGAACCATGGTATTAAAATATCCCATATGATAGCTGTGGGAAATTGCTTCTTAGAATAGTCTTATGATTGAATGTTTTTTTGAACAATTCATTGAATTCACCGTTTAATTTATCTCCATTGTGTGAATTTGATGTGTTCAGACAATCTGCATAATTCAACTGAGAATAATGATTTAAGTGGACAAGTACGTAAACAACTGCAATTGGTTACTCTTCAGTATTTTTTATTACTTTGTTCAGCAATATATTATAACGCTGCGTATGTCTGTCTGGTAAACTAAAAAACCTTTCTAGATTTCATATAATTTCTAGAAACATGTTGATTCGTTTTCCGATGGCATTTCAGGTTAGCTTCCCAAATTTCTGCTACCGCAGTTGTCGGTTGATTGGTCAAACCACCAACACTGACATAAAAACTTGGCA